TTCAGTTAGCAGACAGCTCCCTTTACAGGGAAATATCTGTATTTCAATAAAAAAAACGTTACCTGTATGTGTAATGAAATGTTATGTTTAAAATCATCACTTGAAAACGTTACCTGTATGTGTAATGAAATGTTATGTTTAAAATCATCACTTGAGAACGTTACCTGTATGTGTAATGAAACGTTGTGTTTAAATAATAAATAGAAGTCTATATCAAGCTGTTGTTTGTTAATTGTAGGTGTGTTATAGAGGTGTAATAACATACCACACCTTGTTATTATTATTAGACCTGTACTAATTATCTAATCAAATATAATTAATACTAATACTATAATCGATACATATTACACATTTAAACCTATCCCTAAAACACTATCCCTCTTACAGCATTTTATCTTTAGGGGGTCCTTTCCAATTTGTACTACTTATAACATAATCAACAAATAATAATAGCTTACTAATATACTATTACTGAATTGATACATCACACACATTTAGACCTATCCCTGCCCAATTGTAACTAATGCAGTCAAGGTATAAGACGAAGCTCGTAATAGCTTGACATTGTTAAGATGTGATACAAGAATAGTGACTATTGCAGTCAAAGTATAAGACAATGTTAAAACTAGCTTGACATTGTAAAGACAAACAGTTTTTTAGCTTGACATTGTGAAAATGAAGTTTGTAATAGCTTGACATTGTGAAGATGTAGTTTGTAATTGCTTGACATTGTGAAGATGAAGTTTGTAATAGCTTGACATTGTGAAGATGAAGTTTGTAATAGCTTGACATTGTAAAGATGAAGTTTGTAATAGCTTGACATTGTAAAGATGTAGTTGGTAATAGCTTGACATTGTGAAGATGAAGTTTGTAATAGCTTGACATTGTGAAGATGTAGTTTGTAATAGCTTGACATTGTGAAGATGTAGTTTGTAATAGCTTGACATTGTGAAGATGAAGTTTGTAATAGCTTGATATTGTGAAGATGAAGTTTGTAATAGCTTGACATTGTGAAGACGCAGTTTGTAATAGCTTAAGAATTGTAATGATGGTATGTATGATAGAACCACTTTCGTCACTTGTGAATAAACACAAATCTCAAACAACAAAAATATTTCAAGGTTTTTTCACTTAATCTTTTACTGTAAAATGTAGGTTATAATTAATTGAAATAAAACTTACATGAAAGAGAAAAGAGACATTAACTAAAATTGATTCAAATCCTTTTTACTTTATTTGAACAAGATATTTTTAAATTGGTTTTTAATGATAATAGGTTGAAATTAATATTTTCGATCACTCTATTTTCTGGTTCATGAATATTTTTTGCTGATTTATTATGCATTAAATGCACTCTTCTATTAGATAATATTCAATACTCAAGTGCTGAATATCAACATGAGATTAGGGCTGGGTAAAATAATAGATTATGTCACTACGATGTCATAGATTTATAAATTAAGTATATTTCTTTGTCTCTTCTGTTTGGCTTTTATCACTGGAATTTTCAATATAAATTCTAATAGATCAACTGTAGAAATATCAAAACAGAAACTGAAAGATGTTGTTATTCAGAGTTTCACGCTTTGATCTTGTATATACTAGTAATGGCAGGTATGGTATAATTATAAATGAAGAATAATTAAGTCCTGCTAAGCTGCTAGTTAAGCCCATCAAGAATTCATTAAGTCGTAGTTATTCTGGAGTCTACCCTGGTTGAGTCAATAATTGATTTCCTAATGTTAGTAAACATGTCTATGGTATTATGTAGGCGTTTGTATTCAATGTTTATGACCACAATGGGATTCCTAAACCAGTATTTTTTTGTATTTGAAGAAAATGTCAGAGCCATTAAAGATAAGTCAAAACATATTTGAGAGGTTTGAAGAAAATACCAAGATTTTGGCCCAATATTTTACTTGTGATCTGTATCTAAAATGATATCCAGTTGTGTTTTTTCTGTTTCTGTTCTGTTTTGATCTAATCTAGATGTTGTATTAACAATATTCTTCAATACCACTGAATACCAAAGACTCTTTGGCTAAGAGACAAATATAGTTTTTTTCCTACATCCATAAATTTACAAGAAAAATTCAGCTTCATGATTTCTGGTATAAAAACCTCTCTAAAGCTATGGCAGGACTTTTGAAGTTTTGAGCATGTGCAGAGAGCGCTTCTTTCAGTTGCATTAGAAAATCAATGCTATTTTGAAAGACAAAAAGGTCATTTCGTGACTTGTTTAAGAGCCGACACAGGTGGTAGATTTTTTTTTAAAAGAAAGCCGCTGCTTTAATTAGTGTCTTTGTAAGGTCTTTGGTGGTAAGAGCTTACACAGAGGTTAGACCAGTTCTTTACTTTCTGAAAGAAAGAAACTATAAAGTCAACCTTAAAAGGGACAGATGCGCGATTTTAGGGCATTAATTTGAGTGTTGAATATATATAGTCTTCGGAAGTACTCTACTAGAAATGTAAGGAAATTGCTCAATTCCTTTAAAAATACTTCAAACTATGAATTTTACTCACTATTTCCATATATATCATTTATATGTATGACAGATTATCTTAAAATCACAAGTCATCAACTTAACATTCAAACACTGATAATTCTGGACACATGGATTTTGATCGTGAGCTGTGAACTCTATTTATTACTGATTAGCTAAACTAAATATATTCCCGTGTCTGAGACTAAAGTATGATTTGTAACAACAAAAAATGGCGCACCTGTCCCATTAACTAAAGATAATTTCAAATTATGTCTGTGATAACAACATCCTATGCCGATACACATGCTTTAGCCAAATAGAATTATTTTGCTTTGTTGTTTCGTTTACTCTTTCAGATTTACTGCGGCATCCATATTCCCGAAGTATAATTTTAAAGGCTGCCGAAACCGGATTGTTTTCCGAAACTTTCAGTTTTATTTCGAATTTCAGTTAATAACTTATTTACTGGCTCAACGCTTCGAGCACGAAGACAGATACAGAACCACGTGTCATGGTGGGTCGAGAACGGAGTTAAATTGTTAATATGAAACGAGAATGGAGACATTTACCACACAAAAATTCTCAGAAAAATGGCGCTATTCTCCACTGTCTTCAGCATTTATTCTCAGTTACATTCAAACTATATCGTCTACTACAAATTAGAAAACATATACTTACAAATTACAATCAACTATGTCGAAGTTTCAAATCAAACATTATTTTACAACTGTATTTAATTGTTTGACTATTCTTGCTGCCTTCCTCGTATTTTCATTCTAAGACTGAATGACGTCATATTTAACTTACAGGCGGTTATGGGTTAATATTGAAGAGAAATTTCAATGAAATAGTACCGTATCGCCTTGACTATGATATTGTGGGAATATGACCAAATAACTTACAGGACTTTGCAAGATATTCATTACAAACGATTGCTTAATAAAATGTCCTCTACCACCCTTAAATGATATTTTTTATATTCCACCATTCCTGAAAGCTACAATGAGTGTATGGAAGTAAAAAGACGACATTATAAATCCGATTTTATGCTGAGATATTTTTCGCGAATGAAATGCATTTCTCCATTCACATTTCTATAAGTTATTCAGTGAACATCGAAATATATATAACAATGAGGCCATATTATTTTCTTTCCATTCTGTCTCCCCCTGTCAGTGATGCAGGTAAGAGGAGCTGACATTGAAAAAGCGTCTAGTCGTTCGGATGGGACTATAAACCTAGGCTGTGCACGTTTAAGATCCCTCGGCAGTTGGAAATCGAAAAAGAGCAGGCTAATGCAATTTGCCCACATGGTGCAGAAAAGTAGGACGTAAAACTCCATTCATTTCATTTCATTTTTTTCCATTCTGTCAACACCGGGCTGAAGTTAGCGTACAGTAAGCCAGCATACAATAAGGGATGCGGACTCAATGAAAAATACCGAATTTTGTGCCTTCGAAGTTGAAGTTGCTTGAATTTTGTCAGATAGTATCTGATACATGTCCTCTTTTCAAACAAAACATTGTCTTAATCCCATCTCTATTACATTTCATACGGAGGTCCGTTACAGACATGCAACATTTTAAATGTATAATATAGTGCTAATTGGAGGATTTTGTATGGTAGCCCATCATAGACACAAAAACTTTGTGTTATTTATCAAGCATGCAATAAGAATTTAGCGATATTTTTCGAGACTTAACCATCATAGAAGTTTATTCAAATTTTAATCACAGTATCTCACACCAGTCCTCATTCGATATTCGTTAGTAAGAGATATCTAATAAATATGATGTCTGTAGTAAATTATTTAGTAAGAGACACCTAATAAATATGATGTCTGTAGTAAATCATTTAGTAAGAGAAACCTAATAAATATGATGTCTGTAGTAAATCATTTAATAAGAGAAACCTAATAAATATGATGTCTGTAGTAAATCATTTAATAAGAGAAAACAAATAAATATGATATCTTTAGTAAATCATTTAGTAAGATAAACCTAATAAATATGATGTCTGTAGTAAATCATTTAATAAGAGAAACCTAATAGATATGATGTCTGTAGTAAATCATTTAATAAGAGAAAACTAATAAATATGATATCTTTAGTAAATCATTTAGTAAGAGAAACCTAATAAATATGATGTCTTTAGTAAATCATTTAGTAAGAGAAACCTAATAAATATGATGTCTGTAGTAAATCATTTAGTAAGATAAACCTAATAAATATGATGTCTGTAGTAAATCATTTAGTAAGAGAAACCTAATAAATATGATATCTTTAGTAAATCATTTAGTAAGATAAAACTAATAAATATGATGTCTGTAGTAAATCATTTAGTAAGAGAAACCTAATAAATATGATATCTTTAGTAAATCATTTAGTAAGATAAAACTAATAAATATGATGTCTGTAGTAAATCATTTAGTAAGAGAAACCTAATAAATATGATGTCTGTAGTAAATCATTTAGTAAGATAAAACTAATAAATATGATGTCTGTAGTAAATCATTTAGTAAGATAAACCTAATAAATATGATGTCTGTAATAAATCATTTAGTAAGATAAACCTAATAAATATGATGTCTGTAATAAATCATTTAGTAAGAGAAACCTAATAAATATGATGTCTGTAGTAAATCATTTAGTAAGATAAACCTAATAAATATGATGTCTGTAGTAAATCATTTAGTAAGAGAAACCTAATAAATATGATGTCTGTAATAAATCATTTAGTAAGATAAACCTAATAAATATGATGTCTGTAGTAAATCATTTAGTAAGAGAAACCTAATGGATATGATGTCTGTAGTAAACCATTTAATAAGAGAAACCTAATAAATATAATGTCTGTAATAAACCATTTAGTAAGAGAAACCTGATAAATATGATGACTGTAGTCAATCATTTAGTATGAGAAACCTAATGGATATGATGTCTGTAGTAAACCATTTAATAAGAGAAACCTAATCAATATGATGTCTGTAATAAATCATTTAGTAAGAAAATCCTTATAAATATGATGTCTGTATTAAATCATTTAGTGAGAGAAACCTAATAAATATGATGTCTGTAGTAAATCATTTAGTACGAGAAAGCTAATAAATATGATGTCTGTAGTAAATCATTTAGTAAGAGAAACTTAATAAATATGATGTCTGTAATAAATCATTTAGTAAGAGAAACCTAATCAATATGATGTCTGTAATAAATCATTTAGTAAGAAAATCCTTATAAATATGATGTCTGTAGTAAATCATTTAGTAAGAGAAAGCTAATAAATATGATGTCCGTAGTAAATCATTTAGTAAGAGAAACTTAATAAAAATGATGTCTATGTCTGTAGTCAATTATTTAATAAGAGAAAGCTAATAAATATGATGTCCGTAGTAAATCATTTAGTAAGAGAAACTTAATAAAAATGATATCTATGGTAAAAAAAAAATGCT